GGGGGTTAAAAAAAAGCTATGCCCACTACTATTTAGGGTTTAGGGTTTAGAGTTTGGGCTTTATAGTCCCCCTTAAGTAGAAAGAATATGGCTTTGGGTAGATGAAAATCAGATCCCCATATACCAACTTAGGGGGGACTATATCTGGACGGTATTTTGGCAAACTCCGAAGTGTTACTGATCAGAATGTTTCCTGAGCAAATTATGGGGCACAGGGTAAGTGTCTGGTGTAGGGTTTAGGGTATCATTCATGGAAAACGCTTACCGCCATGACTGCAAGGTTCCTGAAAATAATTGTTCATTTCTGTTACCAACAATCCTAATATTCATTCAGCTGAAATTATGGTTTCTACTGGTTTTTTCAAATCCCTTAGAGATGATTGTTGGTGTCCTTGTTACTGGGACCCCGCTGTAAGGGACCCGGCTTTTTGGAAGCCCCAGACCCGAAGCCGGGTTGCTTTAAGAAACGGGGGTTTAGGGTTTAGGGTTTAGGGTTAGGTAACTATAATACGGAAACCCTATCATCTATTATATACCCAGATTGAGGTGGTACCTTATCTCAAGTTGCTTTACAGCAACCCAGTAAATCATGGGAATCTTCGGCCCAAACCCTAAACTCTAAACTCTAAACCCCTAAACCCTAATCCTCTACCTACATAGCGTGCTCGTCAACTCGGCGGACCAAGCCTTTACCTGATTAGCTTAAGGGTTTCAGGATATGGGAATTTCCCTAGAGGGGATATGTACAGGCATATATAGGCTTGTATAATGTTATACAGGGTCATGTAGGGATTGTTTAGGGTTTAGGTTTCGGGTTTCTCGAAATTCGGTGTGCGTTTTTGCAGTTCCCTATAATAAGGAGTACAGTATTTGGGGGTCTATATTTAGGTCCCCCTATTTATGGAAACCGCCATCGGTGAATGTTGTCACATGACCTACCCTAAACCGAACAATACCACCCCTAAACCCTAAACCCTAAGCCGGACCTGCCGCTTATCAACTTGGATTTCCGCATGAACCCATGCCTGGCATCTGTCTCGAAAGGAGCTTATTTGCCACATTGCCATTCTGCTACGGCTTCAAGTAAAGGCCAAGGGCTTAGGGTTCAGGGTTTAGGGTTTAGGGGCTATAGCCTCAGCGCTGCATGATCCTCAGTAGCTTACGTGCTGGGAATCATGTATAACAGTAGCTGTCGAGGGTCATGCAGGATTGTCAGTATCAAGCGTGGTTCCCAACATTCCCCTACGATGCCTTACAGTGTAGGGGCCAAGTGGTGGAGATGCACCGAAAATTCCATGAAGCAGAGCATTTCGAATGATTCCTACTAAGACAAATCAGTTCATTCAAGCAGTATGGTCTTTTGATTCTTTCAAAAAGCTAGGGATTCCTTTGCTGGGTTCCCATAATGAGGAGTAGAATGGTTTTGTGGGTGTATATAATTGGAGCCTGTTTTTGGAAACTGCTTTCTCTAGATTCCGCATTTGTTGAGATTGGAGTGGCCTTTTTCTCATGGGTTTCCTGACTACCCCCCTCCCCCTCAATCAACCGTAGTGGGGCCTAATCATCCCTGAATGTGGTAGTAGGGGAACCCATGGTTCTCTTTGTTAAAGCAGGCCCGTGGGCTCTTGCTTGAGGTTCTACTTTCTGGAGGCACATGCGAGACTTTTAGGGCTTATCATCAGGATAACTGCAGTTATGACTTGCAATAGGGGACTCATGGCCAGACGAATGCCAGCCCATGAAACTTCAAGCAATGATCTTTCGGGTTACTGGCTTCGATGTAGTTAGTGCGTTTTTCATACTCAAGAACCATTGCTACTTTGACTCCTCAATGTGCTATGTGTGCTATTGATTGTTCGACTGGCAAACTTGCAAACTTGGAGGGGGCTTAGGGTTTGGGGTTTGTCCACTCGATGATACTTATTGTGTGCATCCATCCCTCAAGGATTTGTAGCTCTACTGCTGGTGGAGAATATCCTGCACCACTTAGGACCCTTAAACGGAGTTGCTGTTCTGGAACTTAACTTAAGCAACTATTATGTGGCAACCCTATCATTAAATATATACCCGTACTATGGCATATAAAGTTAACTTGTTTGACGTCACCCCAGTAAATCCCTGTAATTCTCAGTTATAAGGGGGTAGAGGTTGAATCCTGCAACCCGTAAATCCCAAAGCCTTATTTCCAACTCCCAGATTCCTAGGTCCTACCCCCTTAACCCGAAAGCCTAGGCCCAAGCCTTGCAGGGCAAGTCCTGAACCCTAAACCCTAAACCATAAACCCTAAACCCTGAACCCTAAACCCTAAACCCTAAACCCAAGCCTTACAGGGCAACCCTAAAGCCCGCAAGTTGAAGCAAGCAAACCCCCAGTCTTAGACTTGAAGCTCCCATTCTATGACACCACATTGTGAAGCCTAGATCCCAAAGTTTAGGGCTTAGGGCTTAGGGCTTAGGGTTTAGGGTTTAGGGCTTAGGGTTTAGGGCTTTGAGTTTAGGGCTTAGGGTTTAGGGCTTTGGGTTTAGGGCTTAGAGTTTAGTTCTTAGGGTTTAGGGCCTAGGGCTGACCTGAATTCTGCACCATGAGTCCCAAATCCTAAAGCTCCCGAAGCTCTAACTCCAAAGGCTCTGCATCCTGAATCATCTCAGGCCCGGTTCCTAAACCCTACGAACTACTTTAGTATAGGGTTTAAGGTCTAGGATTTAGGGTTGAGGGTTTAGGGTAAACTTTAGTATAGGGTTTAGGGTGTAGGGTTATATGGAAAAGAAAATTGAAACTTGAGGGAGTATAGGGCTTATGTAGGGGTTATATAGGGATTATAGCCTTCCAGATCCCAAACCCCAAATGTGACCCTTAGAGTTCTAGTATACTAAGCCCAAGAAGGACTATAAGTATAGCTTCAAAATGGGTATCATCTGCATAATGGACCGGGTAGCCCTAACCCCCAAGCCCTTACATAACTTCAAACCCTTGAATCCCCAACCCGAAATCCCAAACCTTCAGCCCAACCCCCGCCCCCCCTCACAAGGCTACAACTTTGGTGCCAGCTGCGTTGTCTCATTGCTTATTGGAGCCAGATGTGGGCCGGGGCCCTGCTAGTGAAGCAACCATAGGGGATACGTTTAAGAGATTGTTCTGGATTACTAGTAGAAAAGTATCAGAAACTCTTGGGGTCTGCTAAATATGGTATGGATTTCCCAGATTTTGGGTTGAGGGTTTGGGATTTGGGGGCTTACGGTTTCGGATTTGCGCAGCGATTGAGGGTTTGGGGTCTACTTGAGGGTTCATTGGACTTGGTAAGTGCTGAGAGCAGGGGGCATTCACCCTACTTTGCCGATAGTGGCCCTTAGAAGGCCAGTTGACGGAGTCTAAGTGAAGATCTCCGAGCATCCGTTACCTACCCATCGTTTGGGGGGGTTAAAGGATGTTGTGGTATTTGGGAATGCAAGTCATTTCCCTCAAGCAACCCTGCATGTTTGCAGTTGTGCAGGATTTCCGGTTGCCGAAATTACCATGCCGAAGCCTTGAACCCCAAAGCCCTAAACCACGGACAATATAGTAGTTTCCATGTTCTTTTCCATTATCTCCATATAATCCCAACGGAACCCCATTATAACCCCAATAGTTTCCCCTACATGTGTCCTTGTAGACCTGCGGGATCCTAGATTCATGTCCTCAAAGGACCTTCAGCTCTTCTTATGAGCCCTGTATAAGTCTACACACACAAGCTTACGCAACCAAAAGCATATGCATCTACATACATTGAAGTATGTAGAAATATATGTAAAGACACATAGCAAGTAAAAAGTCCACTTTCTTTCTGCATGTTCAGGCTGCACGCAAGGTCACGCGCGATTCGGCGAGCCAGCGAGGCTCACCGAATAGCATTTCGGGTTTAGGCTTTAGGTTTGTATAGGAATGAGGGTTTAGGGTTTGTCTGCTATGGGATGTAGGGTCTAGGGGGTGGTTTCTTCAAATCACGATCCCTGGTATAGATGCTATTAGCCACGGCGCAGGGATATGCGTAACAACTCCTAAGCCGCGTGACACGACTTGTCAAGTCTCAGTCACTCCTGGCAGAGCATGCGGCGAAGCTGGCCACCATCACAACAACCACCACGGCTGCAGCGCCGGCAGCAGCAGAAGGGTAATATAGGGTAGTATAGGGTACTATAGGGATAATGGAAAATGTGGAATGTAGCCTCTTGTGGATGTAAAGGGTCGCAGGTTGTAACGGCTGCTTGGATTTCGGGTTGTGCCTTGGCGTTTCTGCTGAGACGGTCATGGTAGGCACAGCCCACAAGTAGCACAGCCTGCGTAGTCCGCTTAGCGCACCGATAGTGCACGCAATGGGATGTGAAGGGATGGATCGCACAAGCGCAAAAAGGGCCCTGCGTCAAGCACGGCGTCAGACTCAGCTTAATGCTAGATCTTCAGTGGCTTCCGAGGTTCAGTTTCTCAGGCTTCAAGTTTGGCAGTTGGGGTGGGAGAACTATGAGCTGCACAGGCAACTTGAACAGGTTAAGAGCCTTGCTCTACGACTTGGGCAGACGGTAAAGGAGGTGGGCAGCGGTGACAACGTAGAGCAGCAAGCCGGTCTCCCGCTTGAGCAGCTGCAAACGCCACGGTCTGCAGAAACTCCGCTTGACATGCCAAAAGCAGCAAACAATCATATCAGAGGGTCTATTCCCGTCGACAAGACTGCGACAAATGTGCGCGTGCCAGAGACTTGCGAGTCTTGCGTGCAAACAGCTGCAGATGTGGAAGCGCAACCCCACCTGGTGACAGAGATGGATGATGTTACTCCACGTGCCACTGACGCGGGGGGTTGCTCCTCAACCGTAACAAGGGACCACGCGGCAGCGTCGCCGCAGCTTGCTCCAGGCACCCGGGTGCGGATGATGAGGGATGTTTGCGGATGGCTCGACCGTCTTAATGAGTACTTCGTGGACAGTGGTTGGCAGGGAGTAGTCCTCGAGGCTGCTTTGCCCGAGTGGGACGTTCGCTGGTTCAGGTCAGGCGTGGACTACATATATGTGAAGTTCCGGCACCCTTCAGATGAACCTCGAGATGGGTGTTGGTGGGACACGTTGGATGGACAGTGCTACTACACACCTAGGGGTGTCAAGTTGGCTGTGCGCGCAGCTGACGTAGAGATCATGGAGTAGCCTGTTCGCACTTCATATGAAAAGCGGCGACATTCCTATGTGTCGTTGCTCGCATCCGCCAGCTCGCAAAGCGGGGGGTGTGGAATGTAGCTTCTTGTGGATGTAAAGGGTCGCAGGTTGTAACGGCTGCTTGGATTTCGGGTTGTGCCTTGGCGTTTCTGCTGAGACGGTCATGGTAGGCACAGCCCACAAGTAGCACAGCCTGCGTAGTCCGCTTAGCGCACCGATAGTGCACGCAATGGGATGTGAAGGGATGGATCGCACAAGCGCAAAAAGGGCCCTGCGTCAAGCACGGCGTCAGACTCAGCTTAATGCTAGATCTTCAGTGGCTTCCGAGGTTCAGTTTCTCAGGCTTCAAGTTTGGCAGTTGGGGTGGGAGAACTATGAGCTGCACAGGCAGCTTGAACAGAAAATAAAATGGACACTACTATATTATAGGGTTATATAGGCTTCTAGTGGAGGCGGAGGTGAGACGGAGTAATGGCAGCAGTAGTCGCCGTCGTAGTCGAGGTTCTCGTTCTCTTGCCCTCGTCCTAGTCCACGTCGTGCTCCTCCTGGTTTTAATCACCACCATCACTATGACTGCCCCCGCCACTGCCGTGGTTATTACTACTACTACTACTACTACTACTACTGCTGCCCATGATGGTGCTGGTAGCAGCAGACATGGAGTGATGAATGAAGAGAATAATTCGGATATACCAGCCAGTACTAGCAGGTGATACCGGCACGCTTCACAGTTTGTTAATGTTTGCAAAGGGCAGAATCAGGACGATAACCTTACGCAAGCTGAATGAGGAATTAATTGGGGAAGAGATCTCTGTAGAAGTCCTTATTTCTACACCTCGAGATAAGCTTTAGATTTGTCCCACGACCCCATTCCCCCATTCCTAGCTAAACACCATACCGAGTAATTGCAATGGCCCCTGTTCCGGGCAGAATTCTCGAACCGGATAATCGAAAGGCCACCGACTAGAGTCAGAGCGATTGTTCCTGAATAGTAAGATGCATGAAGCTACAGAATCCCAACAAGGACCCAGTTACGAAAGTCGAGAGTAAGGCCGGAATTAGGACATCTGCCCTCCCTCTACTCCTATCCAGTCGCCCCCAAACATCTTTTCGCAAACTTAGTTCGGGGGGTCTTGATCATCTGGCTGTTGGGGAGGAGCGTCACAATCAGAACGTGTCATGCTTCCAGGATATCTCAGAGTGATGAGAGAGGCTCTGAATCCTACTCCAAAAAAACCCTATCCTCAGGTATGAGCCCACAAAAACATTGATTTGATAGACCCCCTAAATCCTGCTCCAAATGAACCCTATCTTCAGTCACAAGTCCATTAAAAAATATATTCATTGCCAGTTGCCAGGTTCCGCCAGATTTCAGCTTCGGCGTAATTGCGGATGTCCAGCATCAGACTTACCTTTGGACTTCTAGGGGCTTTGGGGTTTAGAGCTTAGGGTTTAGGGTTTGCATTCAAATTTGGGTGTATATCATAGGGGCGTAAAGAATTACCGATATTATGGTCCAAACTTCCTTGCATGAGAACGGTATACAGGGTACTTGAAACAGACCTCCAAAAGGATATCGGCAATGATGCTGGATACTCTCCCCTACATAAGCCCAGGTGTTCCATTTGATTTCTTTTCCATTCGATTCTCCATTGTTAGCAATTATCTAGGCCGCTGCAGTACACTCCCCTGACTTCATTGTGACGTGGAAGGATGATCTGGGGATTACAGTGTTCCCTCCTGGAAGGACTATGTAGGAGATCATGTTGAAACCTACCCCTATACTTTTTTCTCATAACCTACGTAGGGAACCTACGTAGGGATATAGAGTCAGAGTCAGAGAGCATTGTATAGGACCTATAGGATGCAGCATATAACTCTCTTGTACTTTTCCGGGCGCTTCAGAATTCCTGCGTACTGTTTGATGCTGAGGAAATCCTGACCTAGGATGTTTGATGCTGTCCATCTCCAGAGGGAACTCTTATCGCCGCCTATTCATCTAACAGGGTTTGGGTTGATATTCACTTACTATCAACATCAGCTACCCTTCTATCCATCGATGTGCTGCTCTAACCCTAATATTACCCCAATATAACCAGTTGGGTCCCTATCATAAGCGCTATAGTATGTCGCGGTTTATATTGCATTGACGTGGAATGTTTGTCAGCTGGGAAGTTCTTGCAGTGGTCCCAAAAGGGCTGCGTCGCGCACACTCTGGAAGTCAACTGTTGCAAACTCTAAGTCCCTAAACCCTCCCCAAATACACTCTTGATGCGGGGCCACCGGAGATGGTGTTCGGATAATCTACAGCCCGAGGGCAGGCCGGCATCACATGAGGGTGTAGTAGGATTAGGCAATGCAGGCAGTAGTTGTAAATTACACGCAATCCAAGCCCAGGGAGTTGTGCTTTGGCAAAAAGATGCATTAGTGGTCGTAACGTAACGTCTCGCAAGCCGTCATCATCAGAACATGGCCTCTCAATGTTGGAGCCTCTATGGAGAGGACTGTTGAGAACTCATATGACACATTGTTTGAAGTACGGGCTACATCGCAGACAGTCAACAGCGGAAGATATCTGGTTTGCCCGAGCTGGATTTGTCATACCAGGGTCTGTGATGTAGGATACACTCCTGGCACAGCTTCCACTTACAAAGCGATCATGATATTCGTCTTCCTTATATGTGGGCAGACTTGGCTTACTGCCCCGGCACACCATCCATGCAAAAGCACTGACACTATATATATATATATATATAGATATAGATATCTGCGTTCACTCACAACACTATCTGCACATGGCAGCTCTAAATCAAACCTGGCAAATTGCATAGCACGTGTTCCACTTGCCGCCCAGCATGTGCTTAACAAAGCGCCAATAACCTACCGACGTGAATGCGGAACCACCCACCCTGAACCCAAAATTGCTGGTTGTGAGTAGGGAATCGAGGGACGGATTCCCACAGTAGCTCTTATAGGCCTTTGGGTTTAGGGGTTTAATGATTAGGGGACATAGGTACCCATTGAGTAATATTAGGGTTATATCAGGGTTATATTGGGATAGTGGAAAATCAAATGGAAACTACTATTTAGGGTTCAGGGTAACTATATCCTTCAGTGATATCGTACTTTCCATTGTCCAGTTTCCTTCCTTCTCAGCCAACAACCAGCAAGTAAAGCCAAACTGAGCTAGGAATGAAGGCATTGATCCCTTAGTAGTTGCTATATAACCCATTATAGTAGTTTCCATGTTCTTTTCCATTCCTTCACTCCCAGCTAACCCAAGGCCAGTAAATCCCCTATATACCCCCTGTTTCCATTTTCTTGTCCATTTGACTCTCCATTACTGTGGGATACCCTGAACCCTAAACACCTGACCCCTACACTCTTAACCCCCTCGAAACGCTAAGCCCTAAACGTTGGGTACTGCCCCCACCCAGTAACAGTCTATTTTAGGGGTCCTATTAAGGGCTATATATAACCCTATTATAAGTATTATCCAACTGTTACTGAAGGGGGGGCAGTACCCAACCTAAACGCTAAACCCCTAAACCCTTGAACCGCTAAACCCTTAAACCTTGAACTCCTAAACCCCTAAACCCCTAACCCCTACACCCTTAACCCCCTAAACCCTAAAGCCTAAACCCTAAGGTATGCGGACCGTGAGGATGCCCTGAACTTCTCTGGGTCCCGTCTCAGGCCTGGTTTCCCAGCACCGCCGCCCCCACCCCCACGCAGGGGGTTTCTAGGTCCATCCATTCCAAGAGTAATTTTGGGGATATATTGGGATAATGGAAGATAAGATGGAAACTACTCTGTGGGATTTAGGGTCTAGGGTTGTGGAAATGATTAAGGATCCAAGTATACAAATAATACCTATGTTAGGCCCTAAAGTCTGTAAATGTTACCTACATTGGGCTTTTTTGGATCCCTGAGTTCCCTTAATCCCTGAACCCTAAACCCCTAAAACCATTCGCCTTCAAATCCTGGATGCGGGTTTGTCTTGAGACAGCGACAATGACCCCTGGGGTGTTTGTCAAAGCCACTAGCTAGAGATGCCCATTTGTGACATGAAGGACCTTCATTCTACTGTATGCAACGGCCAACAAAAACGAGCAGCTCAAGAAATGGCGGTTTGGGGTTGAGGTTTGCCTTGCTCCATAGACTAGACTCCCTGGTGCTTACTAGGGAATGGGGGAATGGATCCCTATAGTAGTCCCTATATAATCCCCAATACTAATCCTCATGATCCATTCCCCCATTCCCTCCTAAGCACCAGGGAGTAGAAGGGGACTGACACGCATGCAGCTTAGGCGCTACCGCACCTCGAAGAGGTTGTGGGAAGGAGCCGTGCAGCCCCGGCCTGAGCAAAAGTCGGGGTAATCAAACTACAGGGTTTAGGGTTTAGGGTTTGAGGTTTAGGGTTTAGGGTCAAATTACCTGCGTAGTGTTTTGATCAGCCTAAAGTGCTCCCTAAAGTACGATAACATACCCTAATAAACCTTGATATACCATAGTTGGGGGAATACTATTGTACCCTAAACCCCAAACCCCAAACCCTAAATTCGCTCCTGAGCCAGAAGGCGCAGTGTTCCCAGGACTGACTCACACTCCGACAACAATATTATAGTCCTCAAAACGGGGTTCCAACAGATAGGAACCCTTCTTGCTGGTACCTGCGATAAGGACCAGAGTATTTTCTTGGGGGGTCTATAGTATTGGGATGACAACGTTCAGAGGAATTGCCACCCTAAACCCTAAACCGTGCCATAAGAGTAAGGATTCTATGCTCCACGGTTCTCCTGTCCTTTTTTGACAGCGAAGGTGGTTCCGCGATGAGAAGGTGCAACGCCTGGCATGCTGTAGAATACGGTTGATACTAAACATCTTGCATGACCCGAAGTACTTGATATCCCGTGGGAATTAAGGCAGAGAAGTAATTAAGGTAGAATAGCAAGGTATGAATATGCCATAGATTATGCTAGGATCTTCCT